GATTTTAGTACACCATTATATCAGTGTATCAAAATATTAGTCATATTAGTCATTACACTCATTACTGTATCCTTGCTTCAAAGTATAGGTGTATAAGAACAACAGTGATATTTAACAGTAACGCGTCATTTCCATAGTTGCTTGACATCCACTGAATTCCATTTGTATAATATTTTGTTTTCATTGTATTTACCATCCTTAGTGGTATACCATATAATTCATTCAAATGTACATTACTTATCTTAGCATGTGCTGAGTGGTAGAAATTTTACCACTTACTGTTTTCATTGTTACGCGCTTATCGAGAGAATAGCTGCAACATGGAAATCGGGTAATATATATGTCAATAAATTACCTTCGATCAAATAAATCGTTAGAATAGTTTTCCATGTACCTTCTCGTGGCCCCCAAGTACCTTTATCAGTGTGCTCTATAAACGATAGTGGATATGCGCTTAGCAATGAAAACAGTGGTAGAATCGTTTTTTCCTATTTTAGAAGGGATAGAGGGATAAGGAGGTTAACTAATCGCTTATTTTACTTTACCAACACTGGAAAATCGATTTTACTTGATTCTTTAAAAAATTTCAGTTCCTTCTTCGTGTACCATACATCCTGATGCAACAACAGTTAAGGAAACAGACAAGGTCTCGTTAAACGTCACCACCACAGGAAACCCACCTGTTTATGAGTACATCTGGACTCATCCTAATGGAAGTACACTGACCGCCGATAGCACACTGACATTTACTGCTTCAAGACAAGATACTGGGACATACAAGGTGTCTGTGTATAATGGTTTTGGTGATCGGAGTATTTGCACAAGTAACGTGACTGTACAATGTAAGCTGATGCATTTATTAAATGTAGTTAGACATTACTGTATATTCTCTCAGACTATAATTAGGTGCACGTTTATCTCTTCTTGTCTTGTGGATATAACTCTTGAATTGATATTTGATATCTGGATTTTGATTTGGGAGAATATGTCTAATATAGGTAACCCTTCTGTGTCATTCATTTGTCATTTGTCTTTGAGGAGACTGTGTACTAAATTGAAACAATCTCGCTTAACATTGTTTTTGAATCACGATTTTTTAAAACCCAAATTTAATGCTGAACAATTGCAAATCTGGAAAGCGGTCATTTTCGAGATAATCACGAAAAGCGTATCAGCAATTTTTTGAGAAAAATGAAGCGGAAAAGGAAAAATAAAAAATAAGATCACCGGTAATTAAGCTTTCATTTGACGTTATCCCCCCCCCCAAAAGAAAACTTTGAAAAGTCATATTCCATTCTTTTTTTCTTGAATGGGTATGGAGGGGAGAGATGAGTTTGTAATAATAATAAAATAGGTTTAGTTGTAGTTTCATATTTATCTGCCCATGTTTTAATTATATTCCATGATTTTCAATAAGAGGACACTTTTTCAAAATCCATTCTCTTGTGATCTTTTTTTTTTTTTCTTCTTCTTCGTACTTGATACTTCCTTTTTTACTTTTTCCGTTCCTCACGATTGTTACTCATTATCGATATAAATGTAATCAAATTTATTTTTTTGTGATATTTTGAGTAAAAAATATTTTCCAAAACGAGTGCCAAAGACACATAAACTTGCACTTACCGTTTTTTTTCTTACCGTTTTTTTCTAAGAGCAATATCCGTGTCAATTTTTTCAAACTTTGTCAAAACTTTGTTTTATATAATAAGGAAAATATCGGGAAAATGTCCTGTTATTTTAAAAGGTAATTCAGCTTAGTTGTAATCTATACTCAGTGGTCTTCCTTCCACTTGTATGGGCTAAGGTATGGGCATTATGCCTCTGCGCTTGAGGAAAGGATAGTACACCCATAGACAAAAGCCCAACACTTAAAATCCATAACCTCTAAAACTCCATCTCTTAAACTCGGTCCCTTAAACTGACCGATTCCACGAAAACACATTAGAAATGTGATCATCGTTTTCAGCCAACCCTTGAGCCCGCAATGGTTTCCCGTTCGACTGCACCCAGGGGATGAACCCATCGCATTCTCGCCGGGGAGATGAAAGAATTGATAGCTTTGCACGATTAGCGGAAGGATGCTAAAAATAAAACAAAACGAACGATACTTAAGGGAAACGCAATGAGGGAGAGGCCCAAGGGTTGACAGACTTCTGCACACGTACGAAGACCGGCAGGGAATAAGGCTCCCATTATAAGACACTGTCAAACCTCGGAGCCGTGGGGTACGGGCAATGTAACAAACGAATTTTTATGGCGCATAACCATAACCCAGTCGGGAGTGATTTAATTGTGCTATAATTCAGCTTGAAGCTATTGCTTGAATGTAGGTATCTACCTGATAAATAAGATCAATTATATCACGACAAACTAAAAACTGACCCTGAAAAGATTTAACGAAGCCATCATAAAAACGTGATAGCATAGAGAAACTGCTGGCGTAAAACACAAAAGCTATGAATAACGCAAAACCCAACATATAACAAACAACTGGCCATGAAAAGATTCTTAACAAAGCCAGCATATCAAAGTGCCCGTGAAAGAACAATAAACTCATAGCAAGAACTGCATGCGTAAAACACAAAAGCTATGAATAACGCAAAACCCAACATATAACAAACAACTGGCCATGAAAAGATTCTTAACAAAGCCAGCATATCAAAGTGCCCGTGAAAGAACAATAAACTCATAGCAAGAACTGCATGCGTAAAACACAAAAGCTATGAATAACGCAAAACCCAACATACAGTCAATTCAAAAAACGTTGTCTTCAACCAACTCAAGCCTACGCGACTGGACCGAAAGGAACTCTGGGTAGTAATCATTGAAGCCGAGTAGACTCCATAATTTTATCTGACTAGTTATGCCTGGTTTACAGCACGAACCTTCGTAGGCGAGCGGGAAGTGTTAAAGGAGAAGTTTTTTTAATGCCTTCATATCTTCGGAATTGTGAACTGAATCATAACTACTTTGTTTTTCTTTCCCTAAACCAAAAGACATGCATTTGATGGATTGTTTCTCGCCATTATTATCTTATTGCTAGCAATTTATTCAGAACGAATATTTAACCGCTTCAGTGATTTTTACCCATATTTCTTTCGGTCCAGTCGCGTAGGCTTGAGCCGGTCGACGACAACGTTTTTTGAATTGACTGTATATAACAAACAACTGGCCATGAAAAGATGTTTAAGGAAGCCAGCATAACAAAGTGCACGCGAAATCACACCAAACGCATAGCAAAAGACTGCATGCGTAAAACACAAAAGTCATGAATAAAGCTAAGCCAAACATCTCATGACAAACAAAAATATTGAACAAAACGGAGTGCAGAATAAAACAAAACTGGCCAAAAAACAAGCATTGACAAAAATAATGAATAACGCTGAGCCAAATAGTTCATAACCAAACACAACTGGCAAATATTTTAAAATGAATGGCCAGAAGTGACAGTGGCAACAAAATATAGCATAAGGTTATGACCAACAACTGACTAGCAAACATTACTATTAGAACTACAAAACGTACAAACCAAGGGAAATTTACTGCCACCGTAAGGAAAGTTGAACTAAAGCTTGATTAAGCAGCTAATCCTGCCACGAACATTAGCGAAACTCGGCAAGTATCGAAAAAACCCGACAAATTAATTAAAACAGAAATATTACCACAATAAGTTCTCCTTGTACTGGTGATGGGGGTCTTGGTCTGCGTTTTCCTGGTTTTGCTGGGCAACTATAGGATTTACTGGGAGTACAGGAGCTTGTCCTTATAGATTGTGCTTAGCCAAGGTTAAAATCAGGCTACCGAAGAGGAACATACGTTGCAACTGGGTACAGAACTTGATTTCTCACTGCTTTTATACTCGTTGCTTCGTTGCCTCATTCCAATTGGCAGCTTGTTCAAATTTTTCATTCTACTCATTGACACCGGATTAGCGGTATTCACCCCAATTCCGTGTATCCAGCCATTTATATTTAAACCGAATTATATATGGCTCCAAACTTATATTGTCTCTTGAAAGTAACATTAACTACGCTTTTGTTAACTTTTTGACTAGTAAGTAACTCACTAATGAATTTCATTTTTTGGCTGTCCTTCCTTCGAGAACGAGTTAAGCCCTATATAGCATTGTATAGCTCTCATTTCATTGTGTAATACTGGCAGATCCTGTTAGTTGTGCCATATATACTGTTTTGCCAATTACTAAAAGTGAGCCCATAACGCGGTAATTGTTAATGGCAAAAGAAAGTCTCTGCTAATTGTGTGTTGATTCTTTACGTTTTCAAATAATTATATTTATATTTTATCAGATCCTCCGGTGGCTGTGACTTCGAAGTTAGTCATAATTGAAAACTACCAAAACGGATCAATAAATTGCTCTGCTCCAGGCGAGCCTGAACCGACCTTTTCTTGGACGTCCACCACAACCAGAACACTGCTGACCAAAGACAATGGAAGAACAGTGGTGTTGATTAACGCAACACTAGAAGATACAGGAAACTATACCTGTACTGCTAAAAATAGTTTGGGTGATTCCAGTAGCACCTCGAGTGTAATAGTTGCATGTAAGTAAACTGCAGTTACTCGTGTTATCATTTATGTCGTATTTTCTTTTGCAAATATGCGACAACTATTTGTTTGTATCCTCCACGAAAAGCGCGGTTTCACCCTGAGCTACCACCATCCCGGTTATTCGACTGGTTTATCTTGTCAAAGTTTGAAAAAGAAAATTTTACTTGCTATATTCCTTCTCGGTGTCTGTTATCTTGGTGACTTTTCTAGTATGTATGATTACTGATCTTATCAAAATCCATTGTTTTCAGTCTGCATTATCCCAACGAATGCATAGAGGAAAATCAGACACATTTAGTTCATTCATTATTGTCTTTGTTTCTATGATAAACAAGCTAGAAAGAAAACAATTGGATTTTGATAAGAACAATAATTATACTAGATAATCACTTCGGCACGCAGCATTCGTAGGTATAATGCAGGCAGCTTTGGGCTACGCCCTCAGCTGCCTGCATTATACCTACGTACGAATGCTGCGTGCCTCGGTAATTATTTATTAAATAATGGCGTGGTATACGTCCATAATTCTAAACTTCTTTATTTAAATATTTATTTATATTTATAAAAAAAGCAAATTGATTGTTATAAGGGTGCTTACAAAACATGCGAAGTTCCAGCGGAGAAGTTGCGTTCCTGGATTATCGTCCTCAGCGAAGTCTAGAATCTAAACAATCGTTTTAGTCCAACGCAGTAGATGGAAATACATTGTGATACCATCCTTGGTTCTGTTGTGAGAGTATTATATATTTCAGTATAGTGGTTTTATTTATTTTTTCTCATTTCTACTCCAACTGAAAACATTTTATGTATCACTAAAATGTTATTTTATTGTGTAATACAGATCTTGTTGGTTGTACCATATCTCCAGATTTGCCAAATGTTATCGTAAATGAAAGTGGGTCAGTAACTTTGACATGCGTTGGAAAAGGACAACCGCCAGTGAATGAGTTTTTTTGGACCTATCCTAATGGCACTACACATCCTGGTACTTCAGTCCTTCAGTACAGGGCTTCCAGGACGAACATAAAAATTTACCACTGTTTGGTTCGAAATAGCTTAGGACGTTCTGGAAATTGTACACGCAAGGTCACCGTGCATTGTAAGTTTTAAGAATGATATTTGACACTAACCGTTGAATTAGCATTCCATTTGACCCCTGTCTTTTGAATTAAAAAAACTTAGAGGAAAATTAAATCAGTCCACAACTCTGTTGGCCTGCCTGCCCGCCTTGATCGTGATTAATTGACCGGCAGACCGTACGAGTTAGTTAGTGAGTGAATAGTGACCCTAAGATCATATTATAGTTAGTTATAGTACTCAAGTTATCAGTATACCAGTATATCGATAACATCGGTATTAGCCCATGAGTATCCTTGCATAAGAACAGCAATGCATATCATCGTTTATTAACACTAGCTAGTTATTATTCGTATAAACTGTATGTCCATCCTTTGCCTTACCACGTGCTGTGGTTTAGAACGTAGTTGAGTTCACAAGTCCTTTGTGTTTTGTTATGTTTGAGAGGATAGATAGGGAGAACTTGAAATCTCATAACATAATTTACTTTCTCAGCATTCAAATTATAAAATCGATTTACTTGCTTATTTTAACAATTCCAGTTCCTTCATCATGTGAAATACATCCTAATACAACGACAGTTAAGGAAACAGACAAGGTCTCGCTAAACGTCACCACCACAGGAAACCCACCTGTTTATGAGTACATCTGGACTCATCCTACTGGAAGTAGACTGACCGCCAACAGCACGCTGACATTTACTGCCTCAAGACAAGATACTGGGACATACAAGGTGTCTGTGTATAATGGTGTTGGTGATCCGGGTATTTGCACAAGTAACGTCACTGCACAATGTAAGCTGATGCGTTTTTTTTTTTTTTTATTCTCCACTTTCACATCCCCATAATACTTTGCGTCTTTGGGGGGTAGCCAGAGGGTAAAAACCCACTTTTTTTGCTGAAGGCTGATCAGACAATGTTGACAATACCTTGT